GAAGCCTTGGCTATACGGAAATTGAAACCCATTTTATATGTTCAAAAACAATTTGTTCATAATCTTAACCTACCCTGGTAGTACCAATTTATTAACTAGAGTCGTCATTACATTGTTTTTGTGTACTTTATTATTATTAATAACTATTTCTTTGTTACGGCTTACCGTTAACCTGTCTAGATGATCTTTTATTTTTCCTATAGAAATTTCTTAACAAGAATATTATGTGTGACCAAGTAAATATATCACGTAATTCTGATAAACTTCGTCTTCTCTTGCATTAAAAAATCTCCAAGATTCCTATGAACGTTTGTTAAAGTCGCCGTAACCGTCGACTGTAAAGTTACTACTTGTGTATAATGTAGTCTTGACTGTACACATAGGATTCCTTCGATTTAACAAGACCCATTTACATCTTGTCCCCAAATTTTGGTTTCGGCTTCTAATTAAGTTAGACTTCGTTTATGGTCAACGACAGCTTGATACAAATTTTCTTACGTTAAGTGCATGAAGATTGTTTAAAAGTTAAACAGAGTGGAATTGTCATAATGACGAATTATTTTGCATCGTGATATTTTAACGTCATAAGTTCCTTATAAAAACCTTAACATATGGGCATTACAAGTAGTTAATGCACATAAATAGAAAAAAACAATCAATATTGTAGAAGTGCTGATATTGGTATTATATTTGTTTTAAATTAGAAAGTCGTTTAATATCACTATGCTGACTGTTTGTGCTGATATCTAATCACACATGCGTCAGTATGCTAACTAGAAGAACAGAAGAATGTCCGTAGACAGTAAGAATCTCAGTTAGTGTTCCAGTTAGTTCAGTTTGATTTATTTAGTTTGGGGAGATTTTCCTAATCTCGTTATTTTTTACCCGTGATAGAATTCAGTAATACTAATAATAAATATAAGCCGTTGTCGAAAATTCATTTAATACTTGAAAGTACTGACAATTATGTGTATCTCGGACAGATAGTCATCGATAGTTCAGTGAATGTTAGTGCATCCGAGAAAGACATACTCTAGACTCAATGTTCTGGTTTGCAATAGATCAATTATTTATATTCATACACACCGGTTAATGGTGTACACAAGGCAGTTGCAATTATCAAGTTTGTAATAATACAGAGGTCTATTTTTATGAACTTTAATGACTATAAGGTGTGAGAGTCAGTTGAGCTTATGGGCTACAAATATAGGTGAGATGGTTTTGTACGATCCTTTTGGCTAAATCAATCTTTACAAGTTGATGAACAGTGAGTGATGCTCATGTGATCAACGGGGAGAACATTAGTTGTGATCAAGGGGAGTACAACTCCCACTTATGTTTATGATAATGGCATAAACCTTTGTCAGTGATTGCTACTGGTGAACAATTTTCTGATAGTTTGCTGTGACCAGCAACATCTGATCATCTTTAATCACTCCAAATCTTGGGGTGAGTAGTAAGACTGTATGAGAATAAATAACTAGGTTTTACGAATTCTTTTCCCAAGTATTTCGAAAGAAAGAAACATGTTGGAGCATATATAACACATCTGTATTTACACAAGCACATAAATCGCGGGAAAAGATACATGAATAAGTGCGTATATATAGTTCGACAGAGGAAAATTACCTCGACGGCAAGGTTTGACTTTTGATTTTTTAGGAAGTAAATATGTACAATACAGTCCATCCTTGTACTTGTCAGAATGTGGCTTGTGCATTCAGGGATCCGCATGGATTTTCCATAGCGTTTTGTTTTGGGTCAGTTAATATTAAAGGACTTAAATTGTGGTCGTTAAATATCGACGGTCAAGTTATCATCTTGGAAATTCTTCCCTTCGGCTGTGCGGTGGGAGGGTCTATGGAGTTAGAGTTGTCTTTAAAACAAACATCCTTTAGTCAGTCGATGTCGATGCTATTTTGTTTCCATTCTTGTCGATAATGTAGTATTCAGATTCATGTTACGAACTCTCTAGGGTTTTTCATACACAGCATCAAAGGGTTACAATCATGAATTATGAAACACAAAAACGTATGTACTAGACAGTACGGTGGGTTGGATGAGGAAAACGTGTGATCATGGTGGATCGGAACAGGTTTAGGTGAACGCACAGTGCTTTGGTTATATCTATAGCTTTTACTCCTGACATCCCGCGTATAACTTGAGCATAAGAATGCTAGAACCCTTCCAAGTCACAATGAGAAAACAGAAGACTAGTAAAAGGAATGTTGTTTCAGACAATTTCGACGACCCTATTCGAAAATACGCTCATTCATATATTGATTGTACACAGTGATTAGTAATTAGGATGAAATCACATATGAAAAACACTTAGAGTTATAACAGATCACATACTGAGCATAGTTCAGGTCAGTGGAAAGCAATAATAACATATATTATACAGAATAAAATATCATAGAAGAGAAAATAAATACTACACCGAATGATCATCACATTGAATCAGAAAAGAAGTAATGTTGAACGAAGCTCATAATTATTGAATCATTTGAATTTAAACTTTTTCCATCTTATCAGTTTGTTAGCCGGCATGTGCATGTGTTCAAATACACGTCTGCTGAGGAAGAAGAATGTCCTAGGAATCCCCCTTGGATTTTGATTTTGCTGTTGTGAACTATCTTGATTTTAGTTCATCCAGAGTTTGCTGTAGCGTGATTAATCGTTTACAGTATGATAAATGGAAAAGCATCTATCCAGTGTGATGAGGCATGCGAATGTGTAAAAGTGATCAACTTGTTATAAATGCAATGAAGTTAAACACGTTTGATCGCCTTCTTTAGCGTATTATATCATAGTTAAATCCCAATCCCCATATAACGCATTGCTCATCCTCAATCTCACTCATGAAGTTGTACCGGTACATCCGTTGCAATTTGGCCAACTTGAATGTAGAGAATGTATGAGTTGCCATTATCTTTATGTGGAATCCAGTTATAACTTAGCACGTAAAAAACTACTGATTACTGAATTGACTATAATTACCAATAATGTAATGATCAATTAACGTATGTAGACAACGGAATCAATTCCATTATCACATATAGTAACCTTTGAGTTCATTGGATATGAATTAAAGCTACCACTAATGTAGTGATTTTAAAAAGGTAAAAACACAAAATGGAGTTCAACAAATACAACGTTTGTACAAAACGCGAGTTTATTAGCCAATATAGTGACTAGAGGCCTGATAAGTTTACTCGCGTTGTATTCTGACACAAATAAAAACTGATTGTTATTTAGGAACGTTGTTCAATGTTTGACTTTACTTTTGCCGTACATTTGCACTTTTCAGTGAACATGGCTTTCCGGCCCTCCAAACAAGCATTCTATTCCTAGTCTGCATAACCATCGTTCTTACGAGTTCATATCTATCAATATGATGCTAAGTGTTCATTCATTTTTGACGTAATTGCCATTGTAGCGGTAAATAAACCCCCAAAATAAAAAGCTCTGTAAGTCTTCGACATTGGATGCTGACCACATTAATTTGAATGAACTCACCTAGCTGAAGACGCTCGGTCATGCGTCCTCATCAGATCACGAGTGGGAACGCCGTGCTCAACAACCTATGCAGTCGCTAGCGAGATTAGATCAGACGACCCTCAATATACTGATAGCCTATCAAATATATCTTTAAAACTCCTCGCCTCTGTTTTTTTTATTTCACTTGGTGGGTATGATTCATATTAGAAGGTGTTACTGGTTAACATGTTGTCAAACTCCGAAAACCTGTGACATCTTCACCATCAATGATTACTCCATCCTGGAAATTTTTTATGGCCTGTTGATTTGACTCCAACTGGATCAAGTGATGATGTCAACACAATATACATTCCAAAAACCTTCGTACGTGATTGTCGACTTAATTCAAGTTGGAGAATAACGGAGTAAAATAAGTCAAATACGAGAATGAATTTTGGATCAATATATTTCGTACAATCGTTTGTTTAGATAGAAAATCAGTGAAACGAAGTAAAGCTACAGATCGTAGGAGGCAAGTGTGCGAAACTCTGTCTGCTTTGACTCGTTTCCTATATATCACTTCTTATTCTGAATGTTTGTCTGGATTAACAAGTGTGTAAAATATACTGATCCAAAATTCATTCTCGTACTTGACTTATTTTATTCCGTTATTCTGTAACTCGAATTAAGTCGATAATTACATACGAAGGTTTGCAGCATGTATGTTTTGTTCGCATCATCGCTCGACGTAATTCGAATAATATCGACAGGTCAAAAAATGGTGAGCTTGATGTGATGAACGAGGTGAGCGATGGGTACGCATACGCTGATGTAAAAACAGTCTAGTTTAATAAGCGAATAACTGACAATATCAAAATGTGATGTTAAAAAATAGATTGGTTAGTCTATCCGAGAGCTAGAGTTACTCATGTGTGCTCGACATAGTGCCACATACCTCAACGTTCACAAAGTCCCTCTTGATTATCTTGTACTTAAAGATTAGTCACATAATCCATCTTTCACAGAATATATCTGATAGATGTTCCCTTATTTACATCTTTTATTGATTTTCCAACCCCTGAAAGTAGTGATCATGATACAAGTTAACCTGTCGTCCCATTAGACGAATAGTGGGATAAGCACTCAGTTTTCCACAACAACTGTATGACATAGCTCTCAGTCGGAACAATTTCAACGAAATGTGATCGAGAAAGAACTTGGAGTTGCCAAGAAATATCATTTATTAGGTCTGAAAGCATAAAAGTTGAAGTACACATGGAACGATGAGAAAATGGAAAATATAAACTCTTTTTTTAAAGTTTGAATTGACGATCATGGCATACCCACTAGTGACCTGAAATGGATACTTGACCAAGCACCTTTATCCACGTAGTGTCCGGTAAAATTAACAAGTTCAGCATCAATACCGAAAAACTACGTAAATATTTATTTGAAGGATTTATTTACTGCCATATTAACTTAGTAGCTTATGTATTGAACGTCGAATTGACCAGGGAGCCCCTTTCAGTTCAAAGTTGACGCGGTCAAAGCGTCTTTGACTTTCAGATGTCTGGTCAGAGTGATCTTGATCGTCAAATCGAACAATTAAGGGCATGTAAACTTATTACGGAAGACGAAGTAAAAGCGCTGTGTGCAAAAGCAAGAGAGATCCTTATTGAAGAAAGCAATGTGCAATGTGTAGATTCTCCAGTAACAGTAAGTTGCATTGGATTCAGTAACCTTCCTTAGGTATGCGGTGATATTCATGGACAGTTCTACGATTTAATCGAATTGTTCAAGGTTGGTGGAGATGTACCGGACACTAACTATCTCTTCCTCGGTGATTTTGTTGACCGTGGATATCACAGTGTCGAAACATTCCTTCTTCTCCTTGCGCTGAAGGTAAATTATTTTCTTTGTGTTCATTTGTGTAGGTCAGGTATCCAGACAGGATCACACTCATACGAGGTAACCATGAAAGTCGGCAGATAACAATGGTTTACGGATTTTACGAAGAATGCCTGAGAAAGTACGGCTCAGCGATGGTCTGGCGACAATGCACTGAAATATTTGATTATCTATGCCTTTCTGCCATTATCGACGGAAGGGTAAGTAAATATAAAGCATGCTTGAATACCGTTTGCTCACTCAGTAGAAATCCGCAAGTTTTGCCGCTGGAAATCTATTTCGCTTATTGTTATTAGTGCACATCTTGCTGTCATGAGTTTAACAGGCAAACCGAATATAGTAAGTATCGAAACTCAAGCTATGTCGTCCGTTAAGTTTGTTGGTGTAGCTACTAACCCGCTGTGTGGTGACACACTATCGGAATCCCTCATCTGAACATAAAATCATACCTAGTTTCAAAGAAGTGTATACACCATGAAATTAAGTGACTCTACCAACTGTAAAGTTCCTTTCTCATAATCCTGATAATATCCTTGATTCGATGCTATTGATAGGAGAGGCCCATAGAGTATCATTATATCCTTGTCAATTTATCAGTGTCAAATTGCGGGAGTTGAGATACTATAAAAAATTTAGATTAAATTTCTTATTGATATACTTCTGTATTAATGGCTTATTTATTATTTATTTATTTGAACACATAAATATTGGCACACAGGTGCATTAAATACATATGCGCCACACAAGTCAGCAAGCTTGCGTGTTGGCTGTGGTACTGTTCGAGCACTCAGACCAAAGCAGATGGTTTTCGTAGGAGGCCAGGTCCAGAGCCTTCGACCGGAAGGTCTGACCCACAAGACAGTGGAGCAACGTAAGAAACCGCAGTTTCACAGTAACCGGTGGCCAACAATTGGTTCGTACGCCATTTGTTGCCTCATGATCCTGGAGCCAACCTATGTACACCTTTAGTTTGGAATCAGGGTTTCCCGATCCTCTAGGTATATCTTCCACATCCACCGATCCGGTTCAAGAGCCGGAAACTCGCTTTCCGTCCTCTCAATTGCGTAAACAATAACCCCGCCGCGAAAAGGCAGTGAGTAGGACTTCCCTATCAGTTGCTGTATACGCGTGTTTATGTGAGAGCATTTGGAGAGGGAGAGCTGACTCTCCTCACTCTTGGCCGTGCCAGGGCATGTGGAGGCTAGGTTGTGCCGACATCTGTAATTGGATGGTTATTCTATGTTCGTAACTAAGTCATACAATCATTACAATTTGTTTATCATACTGGTAAAGTTTCCAGTACCCGTAGTTTATGTTGTCAGTGCTTCAGATACATATCTGTTAACAAGTAAGCCATTTTCTTTAACTGAAGTCTGCAACTATGCAATGTAAATTCTCCGTTTTGATGTGGGAAATGCTGTCAATCTACATTTTTGTAGGGTCCCATGTTAATTATGACTATGTGATTCGTCCTTCAGGTTTCATAATTTTCGAACAAGTAACTAACTCGATACTACTATCGTATCGCTTTTCGTTTATGAAAACTACAGAACCGACATTCGTTTTTCATAATTTATAAATGCTGTAATTTTGTTTAAGTTTATCTCGCTATCACTCAACTGGGAATAATATGGGTATCTTAATCAAATGAAAAGGTTTCTTTGGTCTAATTTTTTGGATCCCGTTATTTCTTTTCATCTGCTAACGTATAAAAGTGTGATTTCTATTCTCGTGGATATCAATTTAAATATTTTAAATGTCTCTTCCAAAAAATATATCCAGTTTAGTAATAAATGCATTTATGAATGTTAATTTTTTTTCGATAAGATATTTTGTGTTCATGGAGGCCTATCACCTACAATTACAACATTGGATCAAATCCGTACAATTGATCGTAAACAGGAAGTCCCACATGATGGTCCAATGTGTGATCTTTTGTGGTCAGATCCAGAAGAGACTGCTGGTTGGGGAGTGAGCCCTAGAGGTGCCGGCTATTTATTTGGTTCTGACGTTGTAGCTAATTTTAACCAAGTAAGTTGACTTTGTTTGCAGCAACTTAAATATTTTCTTTCTTGAAAAAATATCTAGCCTTTAACATTAAATGTAAGAATTTATAGATTTTACATATCTTAACAGCGCGTAAATTATGACTAAGCAGTAGATATCGTAGTTGCTTGTTAGATTCTAGGATCAATAGTGAAACTCAAGTGTATTATTTCGTCAAGCATAAAACTCTACTTCTTTACGCAGTAAATGGGCATTAGTTTAATTTTAGTACAACATAAAGCAGTATCACGTCTATCGTCAATCTCGCATAATTAAAATCTTCATGTTACTGATGTACAAAAACCTTGGTAAAAAAGCATTCATTTTCATGAAATAATGTTCGATATCAGAAGGGAGATGGCTAATAAGTATGACTGTGCTGCTGCTACCGACTTCGAGACAGTCTAAACGTGAATTTTAATTTTCAGACTTGCTTTAACCATAAAGTTGGCATTTTCTCACTGTTCAAGTCAACAATTAGTGATTTCATAAACTACTGTTATGTCTTAATCTGATTCCCGTTTCATTTTAAAACATACTACTATATTAGCCATTTTAGACCACAGAGGTGAGCACACGTGATATATATCTGAATCCGGTCAGTCGATAAAAGTGCACAACTTCATTACCTTTCTGTAGTATTCAGTGGCTAACATCCCCGCTGCTTACTTATTAGTTTCATTTGGTGCAAGCATTGTTTTAAAAGAGCCTATATGTCTTTCGGTCTCATATACCGTGTTTCACATCCTTAAATTAGTTAAGATCTGGTTGCTGTATAGTTTTTTTTCTTTTTACTGACATGTCACCTGTTCCACGGGTGGAAAAAGCTAAGCAGTTTTTCCGTATCCATGCATAAATCTTGTCAATTTCTAGGGCTGATGAAAACCTCCAACCAGTTGGAGTAATCAGCACTGCAACTAACTTACTATGGTCAAAACAATTAATAGATTAACGCAAGACATTCATGAAACAATATTTTTGGATTTGAATGATGAGGGGTCAGGTCTCTTAAGCCTAGAGCAAAACTGCTCTCACGCGTTGTAGATCCGAACTTTTACAGCCAAACTACCATCACGAAGGTGCCAAAGGCGACCCAGATTGGCACAAGCCGCTCTGGCTTTTACTTTACGTGAATTGATCTCATCATCGCCATCACCGGCACTTACGTGGCTACCCGGATACACGTACTTTTCAACTGCTATCTGTTGGCTACCCAAAGTGAGTGCAGGTTCAGGGTCCTGCCAGTCTTGTAAAAGTACTTCGCACTTGGAAAGTGAAAAGTACATGCCATACCTACGAACACTGCCAACTGATTAAGTGCGGATTGCATGGCTCGGGTATCATCTCACAGTAAAACAATATCCGCATACTCAAGGTTGAAAATTTTCTCCAGACAACAGATCCACACCACCATTACCTACATCCATTACAGCTGTTTCTGGAACGTCATCGATGGCAAAGTTGAAGATAAATAGTGAGACTGGGCAACCCTGTCTAACGCCGCTGCTTGAATGGAACAGTGGAGAGAGTTAGTTGTATACCCACACTCTGCCTGAAGTGTTGGTACATAGGGCATTCATGATGTTAATAAACTTCTTAGAAGCACCCTTCTTCAATAGATAATATCAGAGAACTGTCCTGTCCAAGGAATCGAAGTTGGCCATGATGTCAATTAACAATACGACTATTGACCTGCAATAAGTATAGTGGTGTACTAACATCTGGAAATGATGGTGAAGATATGTTCAATACATCCTCGACCAGAACGAAATCCAGCTTGCTCCTCGTGAGTCAATCTTGGACGTGGTCGGAAGTAGACTTATCCCCCGATAGCTGTTGCAGAAACGACGTAAACCCCTTTTTGAAGATAGGGACAACTATCGCCTCATTCCACGATGTTGAAACACTAATGCCCAGACCTTTGTAAACAGCTCAGTCAGTTTCTTAACCAGAGAGTCGCCACCATCTTTTAAACGGCCAAAGATAAGTCATCTTGGCCTGGTGATTTGCAGCGCTTTATGAGCTGGAGTTCCTTAATCAGTCGTCACCGGTCATAAAGGGAAGAACAGTCTGATCGGTGTCGCTGTGGTAGCAGACCACTGGTAAACTATCCGAGTCGTCTGTAGGTGTCATTGATTGGTAATCCATCAGTTTTGCAAGTTGTTTCGCTCATCATACTTCATGGTGCCAGTGACTCGGATAAATTGAGAGAGCTTCCTGTAGTTACCAGATACAGCAGCTGCTTTCAACTCATTAGCACGCTGTGACCATCAGGCTACTTGGTCCTTACGCAACATTTGCATAATCTCGTTACGTAGCAATCTTCGTTTATCTTCAAACTTGCGGTTAACTGGAGTAGACCAACGTGCTTTGACGAGTTGTAAGAAGCCTGTAGGAATCTATTACTTACAGGCGGGACGTTTCGTGAAGCCGTATTCAACTTTACTCGCCGTTCTCATGGCGTCATGCAATTGCAACGAATACTTATCTATATTTTTCGGTGGGCTGGTAGCTAGCCTTAAACCTAACTCGGTTTAATATTTAGTTGCAACAGAAGCTGCAACCAATTTGTTGATATCGATCCGTTTAGGACATTGAGTTTGTTGACCACCGAAACGTAAGGTAAGAATAGCGCGAATAAGGGCATGATCAAAGTTCAGATAAGTTCTCCAAAAAGGAGCAGCAGTCTTGTACACCACCACGCCAGCAGTTGATGGCGATATGACCAATCTGAGTCCACGTTTGAGAATGCAGAGAGAGGACACTAGGTAGCACATCGGTGATGACTGTGGCAGTAGTTAGGGCTATCCAGAAACAGGTGGTTGTCTGCGTACAGTTGCAGTAGACGGTCATCGTTATTTGTCATGCGACCAACGAGTCCCCATCGGTCACCTAAACAACTCGCTTCTGTACCTAGACGCCCTACCTGAACATTCAAGTCTCCGGCTAGTACTTATACCTTTGGTTTAAAATCAGGGTTTTCCAACTCCTCTAAATAAGATTTTCATATCCACCAACCTGGCGTGAGCGATGGAAGTCACTTTTCATTTCTACGAATAACAGCCCCATCTCTGAGTGAAGGCAATAAGTAAGACTTACCTAACAGTGGCTATAAACACATGACTACATAAGAGCATATCTAAATTGAAGGGTGATTCCGAATCTCCTATATTTAGAGGCGACTGGTTTCGTAGTGGAATGTCTTAAGTTCATGATTGCTGACGACTTGGATACAAGTTGGAAAGCCATTCCATCTAGTTGTATTTCGATAGCTGCATATTAATAATATACATTGGTTTCCCACGATCTCCAGTCAACCTGAATGGCAAGTTAATTTAGGTCCTCCGTCTCTTTACGAAGTTGAAAAAGCCATAGGAAATCTGAAGCGAGGTAGAGCAGCAGGCCCTGACAGATTTACTCCTGAGATTTTTAAGGATCGTGGTTCAGTACTAGCAGTGAGATTAACTGAGGTCTTAGGTAGAATTTGGGAACTGGACGTAATCCCATCTGACTGGTTTCAATCACTGATTGTGCCAGTTTTTAAGAAAGGACAAAAGTCCTCTTGTGACAATCATAGAGGAATCAGTTTGACTAATATAGTGTCTAAAATATTAGCTTCAATAATACTTCGACGCCTAATCAAAGCTCGTGAAGAACAGACTAGAGAAAATCAGGCTGGTTTTCGACCTGGACGTGGTTGTATAGACCAAATATTCACACTACGTCAGGTTCTAGAACACAGACACACGTTTAGACGCCCCACAATGGTAGTATTTCTCGACCTTAAGGCGGCATTCGACTCTGTTGATCGTAAGGTTCTATGGCAGTGTTTGTCACTGAAAGGAGTACCAAAGAAGTACATTAACCTTATTCAGGCTCTCTACTCGAACACAACTGGTAGAGTGAGAGCTTATGGCGAACTGTCATCAGAATTGATTACATCAAGTGGTGTTCGTCAGGGCTGTCCACTCTCTCCATTCTTGTTCAACTTTGTGGTCGACGTACTTTTAGAGATAACACTCTCCTCATCTAAATTTCCAAGGGTTGAACTTCTACCGGGAGGTCCACTTGTTGACTTAGAATATGCTGATGATATAGTTTTATTTGGTGAAGACGCTGACAAAATGCAGAGTTTTCTGACCACTCTAAGCAACAATGCAAGCATATTCGGGATGCGATTCTCTCCCTCGAAATGCAAAATGTTGCTTCACGATTGGGTTACATCGACACCCGAACTAGTGATAGGGAGTGAAGTAGTTGAGTGTGTCGACCGCTTCACTTATCTTGGAAGTCTCATCAGCCCTTGTGGTCTGGTGTGTGACGAAATCTCAGCACGGATACAGAAGGCTCGACTAGCTTTTGCCAACTTGCGTCATTTATGGCGTAGGCGAGATATCCGTCTATCAACCAAAGGACGGGTTTACTGTGCAGCAGTACGTCCCGTCCTACTTTATGGCAGTGAAACATGGCCGGTAAGAGTAGAGGATATTCGTAAGTTACTAGTATTCGACTATAGATGTCTTCGAAACATTGCTCGTATATCATGGGACCATCGAGTAAGTAACACAGATGTTAGGAAACGGGTACTAGGTAAGGATGGCAAATCAATTGATGAAGTAGTGAAACTTCATCAGTTGAGATGGCTGGGACACGTGTTACGTATGCCCAACGACCGACTGCCTCGACGTGCGATGTTCAGTGGTATAGAAGTAGGTTGGAAGAATGCTAGGGGCGGCCAGACCAAAACATGGCACAAATCCATGAAGTCACTGACAAGTGGACTGAGTCATGTTGGTACGTGTAGACTACCTGGTTGGGGACCGCGAGATGATAGCAACCGATGGTTAGAGACCCTGAATGACATGGCTCGAAATCGTTTGCAATGGCGCAGGTGCATCCAATCTTTGTGTTCTCCCAAATTTTGATCTCCTGATTCCCCCTTGTCTCTTTTTTTCTCTTCCCAAATTTATTTCACTGTATTATACTTTTTAAGTAACATCTCCAAACACTAATCTTCCCGATTACTGCTTATACTCTTATTACCTCTACCACTACGGGATTTGAATCGTCCACAGTATCTCTGTGCTCATATGGTGTGGCAACTCGAACTGATGTACGTACGTACGAAGTTCTACGTTGTTACTGACTGACTGACTGACATCATGCAGAGCTTATATCTCAAGTACAAAACTGTATTTTTTAGCTAATCTTGGGAAAAACACGTGATTCCTAGAGTGTTCATGTTGCTTTTAAAGTATAAAGTAGCAACTTGACTTTGAAACTGGTTGGTTTATCTTAAGTGTGAAACAAAGCTATCCAAATGATAATTCTGCATCAATAGTCATAATCTTGGTAAACTTAAAAAAAAAATGTTGGTCGATTTTTACTATAAATTATACACATTACTGTAAAGTATACCGACATCAAACCTCTTCATGTTTCTTAAAATAAAGTTATAGTTGCAGAAATTACAATCAAATTTCCAAGTTCATGATATTATTCATATTACCGCATAATAAACAAATGACGATTGGTAATGTAGAAAAGATAAATTCATGAGTTTTTGTTTCATTTTGATGTTTCTTCAATGTGTCTCACCTTAGTTGCTACCATGACGTGGTGGTCGGGTTTGCCTCATGATGACTCAGTAGAGCTATATTGGTCGAGAAATTTGTTCTTTTAGGTCCTACCATGCTAAGCGGTAGCTTAATGGCTTTATGGTGTTCGACTTTTAGCCGCCAAGTTCCAAATTCAAGCTCCGCTCCATCTACTTCGATCTGGGCAACCAAGTAGTATAATTAGCCTCTCACATATAGATTGTGGCTCGTACCCGAATCATCAATTGTATACAGTCTTCCCACAACGGAAGGAGGGGTTTAGACAAGGTCAACCCTTGAAATATTTGAATGACAACTACTCAGTATTTGTTTTACTGGGAGAAGTACATATTATGGTTCGTAGTGTGAATAGACTGACCAAACCAGATACCTTTGGATTTAATAGTAGAGTTTAGTTATTTAATTTTTATTTTGTCTATTTATTTGAACACATACATATTGGTACAAGAGTGCGCCAAATATATATGCGCCACACAAAACAATGAGAATTTGAAAAAAAGGAAAAAGAAAAAAAGGTAAGGAGGGTAGAAAAAGAACAGTAAGAAAGAGATTGGTGTAATAATAATAGTGGTAATAATGGGGGAACGGAAAGGTACATTCAGAAGAAATCCTTCAGTTAAGGAAGATACAACCACTTTTTTTATGAAGAAAGTAAAAGGTTACAACAGGATCGACACTGGCTTCTATTCTGAGCCATATCTGATAACGTCTCTAGCCACTGTGTAGCACCATCTCTCGGACCCCAGCCAGGGAGTCGTGAAGGACCAACACAAGCCAGTCCTTTGCAGCTTTCTTTCATACCACCACACAATGTCATGCACTGACCACCTCTCCGCTTCTTCCAACCAGTTTCAGCGTCGGCAAATAATGCACGACGTGGAATTCTCTGGGACGACATTCGTAGAAAATGTCCAAGCCACCGAAGTCGGTGTTTCAAGATGGTGACACCGATTGCATTATCGTCTGTGTGCCTGAACACACGATGTCAAACCTCTGCATTACTAACATGGTGTTGCCACTGAATGTCAGCAATCCTTCGGAGACAACGATGATCGAACACAGAGAATTGTCTAACGTCCTCAACTCGGAGAGGCCAGGTTTCACAAGCATAGAGCAAAACTGCTCTCACCGACGCGTTGTAGATCCGAACTTTTACGGCCAGACTAACACCACGAAGGTGCCAAAGATGGCCCAGATTGGTATAAGCCGCTCTGGCTTTCACTATACGTGCATCAGTCTCATCACTCACACCCCCACCAGCACTTATGCAGCTACCTAGATGCACGAACTTCTCGACTACTTCTATCTTATTATTATTTCAACACATAAATATTGGTACAAAAGGGCACCAAATGTATATGCGCCACACCATATTTGTGTGTGTGGGCTGTGGTACTGCCCGGGTGCCCAAACCGAATCAGGTGGTTTTCTTAGGGGGTCACGCTCTGAGCCTTTGACCTAAAGGTCTAACCCACAAGGCAGTGGAATATCGTAAGGAGATGCATTCCCATGGTAGCGGGTGACCGAAAATTGGTTCATACTCCATTTGTTCCCGCAGAATACTGGAGCCCATGTGCACCATTAATTTGGTTTGGGATTCGGTTAAAGCGCCGGACATTCTCTTTTCGTCCTCTCATTCTCGTAAACATTACCCCTGCCACGAGAAGGCAGTGAGTAGGACTTCCCTGTCAGAGGCTGTATACGCGCGGCCATGTGAGAGCATTTCGAGAGGGAGGGCAGGCCCACCCCATACCAGGGTATTTGGGGGTGAGTACAGGATTATAAATGAATGTGAATTATGAATTATAGTTGTTTATAATTCACATAATATTAAAGTTTTTTAAATTGTTGGCTATAGTACTCTGATAATTCACTTTAACCTTGGACAGATCCTTTTGTATTCACAATATTACAAAGAATATTTTTTTACCATCTATTCACCATAAGTTTTTTTAGTTTTAACTAGACACATGTTGTTATCAATCGGTAATATTTCATTATCTTTTTGTGTATATATACATATTCTAGTTGAATCGGATCGATTTCATTTGTCGTGCACATCAATTAGTTATGGAAGGTTATCGTTGGCATTTTCATGAAAGTGTCCTTACTGTATGGTCTGCTCCAAATTATTGTTATCGTTGTGGTAATGTTGCCGCTATTTTACGTTTAAATGAACGACTAGACAAGGAATTTTCCATATTTGAAGCCGCACCACAGGTAATTCATATATATATATATATATATATATATATATATATATATATATATATATATATATATATATATATATATATATATATATATATATATATATATATATATATATATATATATATATAGGTCACCAAACATATGGAGAATAGTTTTTTTAAAAATTAGTTTATATTCATGTGGCATTCAAAGGATGGTCTGATAATAAGACCTAATTATTGTTTATCACTCTACATTTCTCATGAAATAAGATAGTAACTGTTTATGACAATTTTAGTAAATTGTTTTAATTCAATTTACGGCTGCGAAACGTGACCATTAGGAGTTGAACATATTCGTAAGCTACTAGTAATTGGCTACAGATGCCTTAGAAATATTGCTCGCATCTACTGGGATCACCGGGTAAGTAATAGTGAGGTTAGACGCAGGATTGCACTGGAAAGCAATGTGTCAGGATTAACACAGGTTCATCAACCTACTATCCTTATTACTGAAGACTGATATTAGGGAATGATGGTAAATCGGTTGATCAGGTTGTGAATTTGAATCGGCTGAGATGGTTAGGCCACGTGCTGCGCATGCCTGAACACAGATTACCACGACACGCAATGCTAACTGGTGTTGAGGATGGTTGGAAAGAAGTTAGAGGTGACCAAACAAAAACGTGGCACCAGACCTTTAAGTCACTAACTTCTAGTTTGAGCCATGTTGGTAGATACAAACTACTTGGTTGGGGTCCGCGTGACTATCGTAACCAGTGGTTGGAGACTCTTGGTGACATGGCTCAGAATCGACCCAGCCGCTCGTAGTTACTGATACGTCGACTATGTTGTTGACTAGAATTGTAAATCCGTTTCTCATAGCATCTCTACAATCCCAATGCACCTTTTTTGCATCAACTGATTAGCTACTTGTGGTTGGAAATTCATGTATAACAAGTTTATGTAGCTCTGAAAGTGCTATAATCCAATTCATTATAAATAGTCGTCCTTCACGACAGATTGATTTTGTTCAGAATGTTGGACAAAAGTTAATCGGCAATATCGTTTTGACCGGCAGTCGTTACTGATTTTTATTTCGTGTCAAAGTTACAGCTCGATGATACTGTTACCCAACATTTTATCTCCATGGTCCTATCGACTGAGGTTCTTAATTCATTGTACCGGAGATTTTTTAACACTAAGAAACACAGCTTTTTTTGTCAGGAGTTTACATGTCACTTAAAATCTATCTTTATCACCCTTCCGCTTGGTCGATAATAGTAATATCAGATAAAGATATCCATTTCACATTTTTCCTCTTTGATCGATATAAGGCGTACCAGGCATAACCGTTTTATCAAGCATCGATCTTTCATAACAAGTTTTTGCGACATTCAAACAGGTAACAATAAAAGCCCCCTACTTCATTGGTTGGTATAATTCGGGAAAAAAAACTTTGTCTCTAAGTCATTTTCTTGAAGCTTCAAGCATTTTCCATAGCCTGCTCCCGAGGTTTAAGGCTCCATGTCCCGTGAATTAGGCCACACAAGACGTCTTATGGTTTACAAATAATGTAACCCTTATTGTATAAGAAGGGTATCCTGCTAGAGTTTATAGCTAGGAAAATTTTTGTAAATTGCTTGGCAATAATGGTCTTCATTTTTTATCATAACTTTATTACAGGATGTCCGGAGTATACCAGCTCGTCGACCAATACCAGACTATTTCCTTTGAAGTATATGAAACAAAGACATCTTGTTCTCAATGATGATGATAATTACTGTTATTATTTCCCTTGTTTATAAGCCCTTTTCACCCCCTTTTGTCAATTTTTGTAATTTTACTTCTATTTATCAGTGTGTTTTATAAAATGTTTTTCTTCCCCCCTCCTCAATACTCAACTATTCCAAGATTCATTCATGCATTGTTTACAACATTTTTTGTTTTGTTTTTTTGATACCCACAGTCAAACAAATTGCATTCTACTAAGTTTTTTTATTATTATTATTAAGTATGAAGGGAGTTTCTATTTGTGTATAACAATATCCATTTGGAAAAAGAGAAAGTTTTCTTTAAAGAAAATAACGTATATATATATATATATACTATTATTGTTCATTAAATGTAAATTATACTGAATATGCAAAGTATAAATAAAAAAAGAAAAGAAATTAATGTCTCAGGGAATCATCATCTGTCTTTTTTCTTTTTGTTATTGTCATTGTTGTTTCATTTTACCATTGTGCATTTCTTAATTCAGCAACTAATTTAATAAAATCACGATGACTTGCATAAAGTTGTAGATCAGAACTAATATCTGTCCAACGTACAGCATCTGCATCATCACCTATTTAATTATGATAATAGGGGGGGATTAAGAACGATATTTTCTTTTATTTCACTGGTAAATTTTTTGTTTATCAATAAGTAATAAATGCATGTTATATGGACCGTTGGAGGAGGGGGGATATTTATGTGTATGATTTAAGTACATATATACATATAGGTACAAAGAGCACCAAACAATGGAGGAATGTGGTTGTAAGGAAAGGTAATTATAATAAAAAAGTCACGACCGGACTGTCACTTGGTCCTATTCTGAGTAATGTCTGATAAAGTCTCAAGCTACCGATTTTCATTTTCTCTAGAACCTCAACAAGAGAGTTATGAAGGACAGTTTTCCTTCATACCTCAGGAATACGTTTTAAATTAACTCTCCGGCTTTACTAACTAGTCCTAGCATTGGCAAGTAATGCACGATGCGGAATTCCCTGGAACGACATTTATAACACATGTCCAAGCCACTAAAGTCGATGTTTCAAGGTCATAACACTGATTAAACTGTAGCCACTGTGCCTGAACATATCGCTGAACCTCAGGATTACTAAGACGGTGCGGCCACTAAATTTCAGTAACAGTGGTCTAACATCGGAAGTTGTTTAACTTGGAGAGGTCAGGTTTCTCAAGCATAGAGCAAAACCGCTGTCAGTCACGCGTTGTAAAACTGACGTTTTAGTCTGACTAGAACTACAACGGCCTGAAAGATGGTCCAGGTTGGAACAAGGCATTCTGGCTTTCACTATACATAGACCAATTTAGTCCTGCACGTCACCACCAGTGATTGCATAGCTACCCAAACATATAAACTTTTCGACCCCTTCTAACTGCTTACCACTGAAGATGAATGTAGGCTCCTGTCAGTCTCGTAAAATTACTTTGCACTTAAAAGCTGCAAGGTACATACTGTACTTGCGGACACTGATTGCAGATTACGTGACACCATCTCAAAGCCGAAAGATCTATCTGCAGGTAACTGACCCACACAATTATCTATTTTTGCCAGAGTTATTTGCAGAATACGATTGACGATAAAGTCAAAGGAGAATACTGAGATTGGATAACATTGTCTAACCCAACTGCTTGGATGGGACAACAGAGAGAGGTGGTAGTGGAGAGGCTTCAAGATTTTAATAAACTCTCTAGATGTGTTGGAGAAGGGAACATATCTATACCTAAGTATAGTGCAGAGGCAGCTCAGTGGTTCGACTTCGAGCCAATAAACCTCGGGTTCAAACTCCGCAACTATACTGTGGTTCGAGCAACAGAGTGGTATTACTACCTCACAACTATGTATATGGGTTAATGAATAAAAATAACCAAAATTGAACGATAGGTCTCATTCAAACAACAACAATGTGGTAAAGTTTAGATTAGGATATATATGCGCTAGGGATGGAAGCTGATGCTACACAGACTACAAATGTGGTTATTATTGAATAAGTAGTAAGCACAGTGCTAACAGGCTGAAAATCAACTGAAATATATTAGTTTATGAAACATTTTCTACGACCAGGATTTTCGGAACCAGTTCTTTAAAATCTTTGAAAATGAGAATCAGATTACGAAAGCATTGCCAACGTAGACCATCTGAACCTTATCACTAACCCTTAGTCATATACACAGTCCATAAAAAATGATAAAGATGTAAATGAAGAAGTTTTTGGTGGAGTTTTGTTCTCTGAGCTGGATGGTTTGGTCGTCGAGCTTTCATCGTTCTTCCGAACGACATCATCAGCACAAACTTCAAATAGAAGTGAAGTGTTCGAATTTCTCCATGTGTTTTACAGCTTGTTCTGTGCACCTCGACGTTGATTGGTTCTTGTTGACCTTAAATTTGTCATTGTTTAATTTTTTTGTTTGTGTCTCCCACTGGTTTGATTTTTGTTCTTATGTTTGTGCATGATTTTTCTGATTGGTTGGTAAATTGGATTGATTTCAATATGCTTGTTGATTGCTGATTGACCTGAGTGCCAGGCTTCTAAAAATTCTCTGGTGTTTTTTGGGGTTTCCTCTGTCTAAGATTTCCACATTTTTCTAATCGAATCAGTGTCCGCAGTTGTCCACGTGTATTGATATAAGTGAGGAGATATCATGCCGTTTGACTGCTAATTGATGTTCATGTAGGCGCAGGTGAAGGGGGCGTCCGCTTTGTCCGATGTAGTGTTTTTTGCAGTTGGCATAATTTATTTTGTAGATGATGTTTGGTTTGTCTTCCTTTGTTATTTCATCTTTTGGTTTGCATAGGATTGATAGCAGTTTTGTTGCGGTTTCTGATATTCCTTGTATATATGGTAGGGTGATCCTTTTGTTGATTTTTGTGCTTGACTTGAGTTCTAATGCTGCATGCGGTTGGTACTTTTTGATGAAGTTGATTGGGTAGCTGCCGTTCTTCTGAAATACATCCTTCAGGTATTTCTCTTCATTTCTTCGTGCTGTCAGTGTGCTGCAGTGTGTTCTCGCCCTCTTGAACAAATTGTGTACGCAGTTGATTTTATGAGCTCTTGGGTTGTTGCTATTGTAGTTGAGAATTTGATCTGTATGGGTCGGTTTCCTATATACTTGAGTTTCCAGTTTTCCTGTGTCGGTTCTAGTGATCAATATATCCAAGAATGCTAGTTTGTTGTTTGACTCCTGTTCCATGGTGAACTTGATGTCATCGAAGACGTTGTTGATCAGTTTGTGTTTTCTAGTTCATTCTTTTTGACGATGACGAAGGTGTCGTCTACATAACGAATCCAAATTTTTGGTTTGATAACTGGTAATATAGCGGCTTCTAGTCTCTGCATCTCTGCCTCTGCGATCGATCCTGATATTGGTCATCCCATTGATGTCCCTTTCGCTTGTTCGTAGATTTTTTTGTTGAATTGAAAATATGTTGTTAGGCATAAATTGATGAGTTCCTGTAGACTTTGAATTTGAAGCTTCGTGTATTTAGTGAGGTTTGTGTCGTTGTTGAGCAGCATGGATATAGTTTCTTTTGCTAATTTTGGTTCAATTAAGGTGAATAGTGCTGTACGTCGAAGGATATCATTAGTTTGTCGTTGTTGATTTGGATGTCCTTAATTTGGTCCAGGAATTGTGTAGGTGATTTGATGGAGTGGTTGGCTGAATCTACCAAACGTTTCAGTATTCTTGAATTTTCTTTTGACAAATTGTAAGTTGGTGTTCCGGGGAGTGCTACAATTGGACGTAGTGGGATGTTTGGTTTGTGTATTTTGGGTCTGCCGTAGAATCGAGGGAGTACTGGTCCGTTGGATTTCATTCTCCATTGTTCTTGTTTTGTTATTTCTCCTGCTTTGACTAGCTTGTTCAAGGTCTTTGAGATTTGGTTGTCTAATTTTTTGACGGCATTTGTATCCATCAGTTTGTATGTGCTCTTATCTTCGAGTAGTTCTTCGGCTTTTTTGACGTATTCTTCTTTGTCCATGATTACTGTGGTGCGTCCTTTGTCCGCTGGTATTATGACAATATCCTTTCTATTTTTGAGTTCTTTTAAGGCCTTTAGTTCTTGTGGAGTCAGTTGGTTGTTTTCCTTCACCTGTTGAGTCAGCGGTACTATAGTTTGCCTTATTTCTTGTTGTGTTTCTTCACTGATTCCGAAAGTTTTGAGTGATGACTCAAGCGCTGCAAAGAATTCCAGCTTTGAGGCGTCGCTTGCATTGTAGTTTAATCCTTTTTGGAGTAGGTGTTCTTCCGTATTTGTTAGTGGTTGTTTTGACAAATTGACCAGGCAATTGTTTTTGTTTTCTTCCACGGGTGGTTTTGAGATCTTGATTAGTTTTTTCTTTAAGGTGTTTCTTCTTTGTTTTCTGTGTCGTTTGCATGATATCTCGATGACTGTTGTCAAGATTTCCAAGTGTTCTGGTGTAAGTGTCCTTTGTAGCTTCATATTTTGGCCCTCTATGACGTGTTGGTATTTGCGGATTCTGTAGTGTGCATCCGTTATCATTAGGTATCATTTTTCTTCCACTTTGCTCAGGTATTTTCCATCCTAATGGGCAGTTGATTGGAGGTCTATATCTTACACTTGTTGGTAGAACATGCTGGCGAAGACACTCATGGAGAAAATATAGTTGTTCTCGAGTGGAAGCCTGCCTTTTGGCGAAATTCTCCCATTTTCGAACAACGAGAAGCGTATTATGCTAATATGATTTTGAGATGGTGGAGATTTGTAGCTCAGGTGGATGATTTTGGTGGAGTTTTGTTCTCTGAGCTCCACCAAAATCATCCACCTGAGCTACAAATCTTCTCCACCATGAAGAAGTTTGACAAGGTGTTTTAATCACGGTACTTTTCTAAACGCTAATTGACTGATATATACAGTGTATGGAAATGATCACCAAACTTACATCCCAGTGGAAAGAATCTCACTTATATTATGACAACGCTATACGTTAGGGATAGTCAACATAGGATCGGAAGCTGAATTTAGGAAAGAAAGAAAACGGTAAATCAATGTTTAACAGACTACCACTTAAGTGCTATGATATTATTGTAGATATTGTTCAATAAGTTGAATACGACGGTTTGAAACTAAGAATAACATCAATAATAAATTAAAATGAACATGATCTACCTGCAGTTAATGGAAATAACGCTAGACAATTGCCAACTTCATCGTGAAAATTTACTGCCACAGTTTCCATCCATGCATTATCCGTATTACGTGGATCATCCACATAACCCTTATAAATCTATATCAAGGTATACATTAATGAGACATTAAAAGAAAATCCTGTAAATTATGAGTCTTTGTCATCAGTGAATAATTCACAAAATGATTGTGATTCAAAATACTTTGTTGAATAAAACGTTTGGTAAATTACTGGTTAAATCTTATTACAAGAAGGCT